CTCCTAGCTCGGAAGGACGTCCTAGTCTGAAAGTCTTCAGTTTTCCAATGGCTGAATTTAAATGTTTCTGGGAAAAGAAGGCCAACTCTGAAAGACTGGTGGCGATCACAGCAGTAGCCAATTCGAGAAGAACATTGCTAGGCAGCGCCGCGGTCAGACTTTCGTTGCAACAGGGGCTGAGGGCGTTTCTAGGACCCAGCCTGAATGAACCAACAGACTCGACTCGGGCGTTGTCCTCCTCCAAGAAAATGCGCCCGAAACCCCCCTCGTTTCGATGCCTCTGTGGGTCGATTGCTTGGAAGCGGTGCTACGTGAAAGTCGCCAATGCCCACATCCGTGTCCTGGTCGGGCTGCTAGGCCTGGGTGTGGTTGAGAAACGCAGGGAACATCCCGAACAGGCTTTTGTGATTGCGGCAGACGACGAAAAATGTATTGGCTCGCGAGGCGGCCCCGACGCGGAGCGAGAAGCAAGAAGCAGTGTCTCACGATAGAGAGCTGAGTGGAAGTGTCCCGCGTCAAGTGGTGTTTGGAAGTTGTAAAAAATAAACGGAAGAATGAGCTTGGACAAACGAAAGAGGTTCACGTAGACGGACTACGAGGTCAAAGGTGCGATAAAATAATGGAACGTGATATGAATGCTTGCGGCGTAATACGATCAGGAGAAGAGGATGAAGAGGGATCGTAAGGTGGCGGCTAATGAACGGGGGAGGGGGAGGGGGGAGAGAGTGAAAATAGAGGTTGACTGTAAATATCCCGCACAGATAATACACAGAGGAGAGGCAGTCGATGTTGATGGAGAGCCGAGAAACGAATCGCACTTGCTTGAACCGAGAATGTCAGCATCCACCCCCCCCCCCCCCCTCTCGGCTAGTGATGGGGCTGAATCCTGAGGTTGCCATCTGCATTGCCAGGGGCGAAGAAGGAAGGTGCCACTGCCACTGCATCGCCGCCATCTGCGTTCACCTGCCATCAACTGACATGTCCGTCCGCTTCCGCTTCCACTTTGGCTTCCTCTTTGACGCGGGATGCGAAGCATTGCCCGCATACTGGATCTACATATACATATGTAGTTGGACAAATCGGAGCATGGAAATTAGTCTGGCTATTTTTGATTTGGTGTGGAATGCGCCGACTCCCGAGGTACATCGCCGATTGGCGCAGGAAAACATCCCCGTTACATCCACCAGTGGCACTAATCCATATCAGTCTGTCAGAAGTTGCATTTCAAGAAACCAAGTCTCATGGCTCGTTCGCATCAAACCCGCTCATTTTCTTCTTCTTCTTGTTTCACGGAAAAGCTGATGATGTGATGGGCGGCTGCCGAGACGAGCCTCACAACACCCGGAGGCTGCAAGGGCTGGCGTGACCCATGGGCCATGGAGGAAGGGGTTGCAAAAAAAGTACATAGTTGATATTCACCACTTCATCAAGCCGAGACATGTCTTGCACCAAAATGATACGGTTGCCAGGGTTCGAACCCGGTACCGTCCTATTTTGCCCGGGAATGACGCGGGATGCACTAGCAAAATGTCTCGGCCTATTTAGTAGCTACCACTTATCAGCTGCTATGATGGCTGCTGTACACATGTTTGTTTCCTCGCCCAACGCGAATTCAGGCATCAATCTATATCCTCCTACTACCCCCGCCTTCATCAACTTGGGCTAGTCAATCAACTCGTCCAGGTCCATGGATTGGACACGATGGGATACTACTTTGGAAGCTCTTACTCCCAATGCTTTTCATCATCTGTTACTCTGCCGCGGGCGAAGCAACACAGTTCGTAACTTGTCCTGGAGCCGTTGAAGCGTTTGTTTTCTCTCAATTTTCTCACCGCGACATCCATGTTCTAATCGCAGAAGCCAAAAACACCACGTCCAGTCAGGTACCAAGAGAGTAAAACCCGAGCCTTCTCGCTCCACCCCCAAAAAGAAGTTTCCTTCGCCCACACGGCGCCTACGAAAACGCCCGTGTAAGTGCAATACAGCCCAGAGTTGTGCAAAAGGCCAAGTGCCAACAATACCGAGTCCTCACAAGGTTACATTTCTTTTCCCCCCACACCATTACGTTTTCCAAGCCCTGTTGGAGCCAGTCGTCGACTACTTGACCGTAGCTGCCAGGATTGATTATAGTAGCTTTGCCAAAGTTATACTTCGAGCAACGAAAATGGCAGAAAGAGGGAAGGGAGCGCCATATCAAGGTCAGAATTCACTCACCTCGTTAAAGCTGCTTGGTCTCGGCGTTGAAAGATGTATGTACCTCGGGGGGGGGGGCAGCGTCTCTCGGAAGTCATACTCGGCACTCGAAGAAGCAAGTTGGGAGGTATAATTTTTCTTCCCGGATTTAACGGTTATGATGAACACGTCAGACTTACATAACTATAACTTCCCCCCCCCCTTTTCTAGTACCACTTACCTCTCGGAAATAAGTAACATGACTCCATGATTTGAACACAAACACAAACTAATAGGTACAGCTTTCGCAAAGCTACTATAATCAATCCTCGCAGCAACGGCCAAGTCAGGTACAAAGCCCACTCACTGCAACCGGAAATTCTGTCGACTCTATCTGTTGGCATTTTTCACGAGCAAAAAGTAAATCATGCCGTCTCTGTCCTTCAAGTGGGGGTTCCCCGTCTGATGCAGGTCAAACAGAGGTTAGATTCCTGCGGCAAGTTGAGGTTGTGTGGTGGCGTTCCGTCTTCAAATGGTACACGATGGCTTTTCGCATTCGGCCGGAGTCACTACATGGCAATTCACACAAATTTTCCGGGAACATGGGTACGACAGAGACTTCAACTCCTTTCTTATTCGATCACCCCCCGTGACAGCCAGTGCCACAAGATCGCTTCCGCATTAGGCGCATGAAGACGGTTCCGGACCGTCACACACTGCTACCCTGTGACCGGCACAGAAAACATCATGAACGTGCCTTTCCAACGCCATGGTAGTGATTTATAGAGAAGAGGGGGTGGGAAGGCAAAGAAATGAGGAAAAAAACACAGAACGGACAGATAAAAAGATGGAAGAGGAGCCATTTCCGTCTCAGCGCACACACAAAAAAACCCTGCAAACACATACACACACACGAAAAAACCCCCAACCCATTATCGTGTTGTCGTAAGTCTCCCAAACGCCCCTGTATAAGCCCCGAGGCAGTCCGCCATGAATGTAGGCAAAAAAAAGTCTAAAGCCCAAGTCGCACTCCATGTGTTCTGTATGCGCTGCATTTCTGGTTGTAAAAAGCCAACCATGAGAACAAAGAGTACGCAGATAAAGTCTCAGCGAGTATCTCGCCGAAGAAAAAGAAACCCCCCACCCCCCCCCCCGAAAAGAGAGAGAGACCAAATGGGGAAAAACCAATAATAACAACGGTTTTCTGCCAACACACACGGGTTTAACTTGTGGGCTGAAGCGCACGAGAAAGCCTCGGAGAGTTGACAAGCTCAAGCAAGTTATTCGGGAAAGGTGACCAGAAAGGCGTAAGTCGGAAAATCGTGAAGCTCATGTTTCGCTTTTCCAGCAGGGCGAACGGCGACTTGACCCAGGGCGTTGTCGAACCAAGGTGAGAGTGAGTGGTGGCCCCGTCACCAAAGACAGCACGTTTCATCGGTAGGTCTTGTATTCGCGGCCAGAACTTCAATATCCCGAATCGTGATAGGCCTATCTCGAGGCATGCTGGCCGCTGCTAGATGAATGTGCGGTGCACGCATATCCGACATAGATTGTCCGTTGTTGTATTTCATGACCGGGTTGGCCGTAGGCTGGACATCGATCAATCGCATGTTGGTAGTAGATACACCGACATGCTGAGTATATCTCAACTACCTGGTAGCACATGGTTTCTTCTTATTCCTTGTATATTGGCAACAGTTCTATGTGAGGCGATTCGCAGTCCTTGCGTGGGTGATGATGGATGGATGGGGTCTGGATATCGGGTCAACAGTAATAAACGATGGATGTCTTGCAGGGTCGGACTCGGTGTTGGATATTGCCGGCAGCCAGCCCTGTGGTAATGGCGAATGGAGTCTTGTTTGAAATTTCAAAGTTGTTGGTGCAAGGGGTGATGGGGGCAAAGCTGGCGTGAACAACAACGACAAGACAATCAATAGGGCAGGTATTAAAGAGCAATGGAGAAGAACAGGAAAAGAAAATATCGTCAAGAGAGAAGTCGTGTGTGCTGCTATGACGGATATAGGCAGAGAGGCACGATCGAGGCGGAAAAAGCTCGAGGCATTACAAGTCTTATAGGACTTTGGACTTGGCAGCCTAGAGCAAGGCCAGGACTTTGGGGGAAAAGACAAGGCCAAACAAAGTAAGCCCGCGAGCACGACGAGCTCGAGGCGTCAAGCAAAATTCATCCACGCCTCTCTCTGGTTTGTCGGTCCCTCTCGCGCGCGAGCGGACGCCGTGAGTGAGGCGGCGTGGAGCAACAAGGCAAGGCATCAATCAATCAGCACAACGCCCGAAGACGACCGAAGACGACCGAAGACGACGAGCAGCTGCAGCAGCAGCTCTGACCAACCCTCACAGAGTCACTTCACAGGTGACCCAAAGGGCGGAAAACGGGGTCCCATCGTCCATCCGTGATCCGGTGCAGCCGCGGTGTACGCAATCGGGAAGCAGGGCAAGGCAAGCCCAGGCAGAAACTCATTGCCGCGATGCGCTAGGCGCAGTAACCCGAAGAAAGCGAACAAAGACCGGAAAAGGCAACACCAAATTAATGCTTCTTGCTTCTTTCCGGCGGAGGAGTCATTTTGCATGAGCCAGGGTCCATGAAAAAAAAAGAGAAGGGGGTGGGAGGAGGGAGGGAGGTAGGGGGGTGGGATGGGATGACGGTCGGACCGGGGGGGGGGGGGGGCAGCTGAGTCAACGTTACTCGTGCGACCCGGTCGAAGTCTTTCAGTCGACGGCGGAGTCTGATTTAGTAGTTGCCAGACCTGGACGGCATTCCAAAACGAAGAGAGCGACAGAGGAAGATGGAAGGTGTAACAAAAAAGGCACGACGCCGACCGGATTCGAACCGGTGCCCCCTAAGGGAAAAGATGTCCCAGGGGAATTCGAATCTTTCGCGTTGGACCACTCCGCCACAGCGCCATGTCAGTTCGGCCAGAAGTTGAGTACTATCATGTGAGGCAATTCGGCTCCCTTTCTCCCTGACTTAGTGGAGAAGAATAACAAAAAAAGCAGTCGCGTTTGTTGATCAATTGGCACATCCTGTCGACCTCGTTTAAGTCAGATTGCAAATTGTTCTCTCGTCATCGTGTTCTCGCATTTTCTCGGCCCAGCCCGTCCGCCACGCCACAGTTGGCCGAGGACGCCGGGGCGCGGGGCGCGGGGCGCACACTTGAAAAAAAAAAAAAAAAAAAAAAGTCGCAGCCTGGATGCGTAAGTTCATTGTACGTAGATGACTCTTTGGGAGGATATCGGGCAACGAAAGTCGCTAAACCATCGGAATACCGGAGGACCAAAGTGCGTGCAGTGCAATGAATGCAATTAATGCAATGCTCGGATAGTGAGGGGCTGTTTGTGACGACGTTGTGACGACGACGACGACGACCCTGCCCGGAAGTTGAAAGGTGCGAGCTGCGACCCATGACGTGCCGTACAATGGTACGGAGTACGATACGTACACCCTCCCTGTTCGAGTTATATTTTTAGACCTTGTACATGTGTACATCATGTTCAATGGGTAATGGGCGTTCGGGAAGACGGAACGGAACGGTCGACTCGACAATTTCACAAAACACAGCGAGCGAGCGAGGCGCGAAGCGAAGCGACACGACGCAAAAGATGCACAAGATGCACACGATGCACACACACGGCTATTCCCACGCGTGCGTGGTTGACTTAAAATCTCAATGCATGCATGCTCGCTGACAGGCACCAGCTTCAAGCTCATCCCAAGCTCAACCCCATCCGCATCTTCCACCGCTCACCTGGGCTGGGGCCACCTTGCTCATGGGACACCTTATTGGACACGGCCGAGCAATCGCAGCGCAGCCTTGCAACGCCTTGCAACGCCTTGCAACCTGCCTTGCCGTACGTATGTACATAACATGTACGCACAGGCAGGAGGGTCCCGCACGTCCCCACACACTATGTACGGACTACGCACGCACGAATTGACTATGTACACTCCGGCTTGAAGCCAACAAGGAGTTCGTTCCTCATTTCATCCCTTTTTTGCTGGCAATGCTTTGCTTTCCGATGTGAAGCAGGCTGGTTTCGTTGTCGTGTCCACCATCTCGATTGCACATTGATTGCACATCCCGGAGAACTGCAAGTTCCATTCCTACACTCTTCACTCCGCCCAGAAGATCCGACAGACGAACAAGATGTTGACACCACCGTGGCCAAGTTGTACACCCCAGCCGTGCATGCAGTCTGCGTTGCGGTTTCTTGAAGAAAAATCAAACGTGTTGCTGCAGCCTCCGGCCAGCCTGGCGCCACACCTGTTGGATTCCACAGCCAATCAGGACCACTTCGGCTGGATTGCGCGGTGGAGTGTACATTAGGGCTCGTACTACCCATAACCTATACATATATAACTTATACCTTATATATAATATAAGCTATTATATTATATAATCCTAATAGGTTATAAGCCTAGATACTCTAAAGCCTAAGCATCCTTAAATAAAGCCCTTCCTATAGGTAATAAATTAATTAATCTATAATTACTAACTCCTTCTAATATTACTAACACTCCACTAAACCACTATAACTCTTATAATATTTACTAATACTAAAAACTCTTCTAGGGCTATTACCCTAGCTTAGGGCTTAGAAGCTTTAGGAGAGGACTTTAGTGTTAAAAGCTCTATATTTATTAGGAGTAATAACTATAATAAACTAATTAATATACTTACTATAGGTATTAACCCTAAGCTTAAGTAAGTTATTTATATAGGCAAAAACCTTATAAATATAAGATATTATTAGTAGGGAGATAGGACCTATAGCCCTTAACCCTTTACTATAGTATCCTTACCTAGTACTAATAGTAAATTAGAATTTATCCTATAGGCTATGCCTTAAGACCTATAAAACGCGGATATTAATAACTTCCTAATCTTAGAGGGTAAACTTTATAATATCTATAATAGTATCCCTCTAGGTTTAAAAGAGGTTAAAAGCAAAATATAAATACTATAAAATTAAATACTCTAATACTATATTTAGCACCTCCCTAACTATAAATATAATAACTAGGAACTAGGCTATACTTAATTATTTAACCACTATTAATTATATCTATAGCGGTTATTATTATATAAGGGTAGTCCCTATATAAACATACTTAAAGCTACTAACTATAAATCTCTAGTGGCTTACCCCTAGTAAAATATAGCTTATATAATAGCTATATAATCTTAAAACTAACTATCTAATAAAGATAATATATTATATCTAGACCCTAATAACTTTAAAGTCTAAAGTATAGTAGTAAAGGCCTATAGAAGTAATATAAACTATAATAGTATTATAAAGCTAAAGGGGTTAGAGAACTAGGTAAAATAGGATAAAGCACTAAAGAATACTATAATAGCTGAATTTATAACTCCTATTCTTAAAGGTACCCTAATGCTTATAGTACCTATAAAACTATACTTAGTAGTAGTATAAAATAAGTATATTAAATAACTTATATTCTAGAAATATAGGAACTAGAACTTACTTACTAGAATCTATAAATAGTGCTTACCCTATATAGGTAAGAAAATTAAGAATATTATAGAGGCTTATAAGGCTTATACTACGCTATAGAAAGTTAGTTAATAATAAGGTACTAATATCCTTAGTAAAGTTATTATAAGTCTTATTATAGATACCCTATAGAAGCATAGTAATATCTAGGACTTTACCTAGGTATTTAAGGAATAACTTTATAAGCTTAAGTAAATATAACTAGACTAGAAGATACCTAAAGAGCTCTATTAACTATGGTTCCTTAGTAACCTAGGTAATATATTTAGTATTTTCTAATTCTAAATCTTTTAATAGTATAGAATAGTTAGTGTTAGTAATAGCACTAATATCACGCTAGATACGCTTATAGAGCTAGCTTAAGATAAGTATTAATACTTATAAACTAAGAAGAAAATATTAGGACATATAGGTAATATAATCACTAGCGAAGTGGCGTATGTAGCTTACACTAGTAGTAAACATAGAAGAGATATAACTAGCTTAATATAGCTATAGAAGTATATAAAGCTTTAGAAGCTAAATAACTATAAGGGACCTTACTAGAAGGTCTACGCTATATATAGCTAGATTCCTACACTAAGTAACTATAATAATAGCGAATGTAACACTTAGAATAGATAAAAGGCTACTAAGGCTATTAATAAGCCTTTAGTATATAACGCTAATGCAAATATACTAGATAATAAGGTAAATGCGTTTCTTACGTGGCTATAAGACCTTAGTGACTTCTTTATAGCTAATGTTTATAAACCTACTATATTAAGCATAAAAATTAATAGCTAGAACACTAATACTAGAAGCCTAGACTAGGTCTTTAATAACGCTACTAAGTATTATATTTACTATAATAGGTATATGTTTAGTAATTATAAGGAATTTACTAACCCTATTCTAATAAATAACGTTAAAGAAGGGGCTTATGCACTTAGCAGCGGAAGCATACTAATAATAGTGTAGCGTGTTTAGAACATAAAGCTAATTTACCTTTAGTAAGTCCTCTATATACTAACTTTACTTATTAACTTACTATCCCTTAGTACGTTTACTAAATAACCTAGCTTTATATATCTTTAAATATATAATAATATAGAAGTTAGGTATAATAAAAGTCTAGTAATTTATAGCATAACTTATAGTAGATTTAGATACCTAGAGTACTCTTATACAAAAACCATACACTACTAGGATACACTAGAAGTTATTAATAACCTAGTAGTATTCCTTACCTTATATACCACTAAGACTATACTACTATAGGTCTTTTACCTTAGGATAGGTTACCTAAATTATACTAACTATATTAAGCTAGTAAATAATTTAGGTATTTAAGTTACTAATAAATAGGCTAGTCCCTATAAGGCCTATATAGTAAGTAAAGGAAAGGTATAAAATACTTAGGTAATATTATATAAGGCACTTAACTATAGTTAAAGGCAAATAGTAAATCTAGGTAGCTTAATTAAGCCTTAAACACTAGTAAGGGAGGAGTATTACTTACTTATTATTAATAACCTAACTAAGAAACCTAGGATATACTTACTAAAAGAGAAGTTATAGGCTACTACCTATATCTAAGTAAATATTACTATAGTAAAAGTATAAACATTAGGTTAGATCTAATAGTATAGGCTAGATAATAGAGGAGAGTTTAAGAATATAGTCTTACTTAACTTTTTTAAATAAAAAGGTATTATACTAGAGTAAACTATAGTGTATTAACTAAACTAGAACCTAATAGAGTGTGTGTACCTTACTATCTAGAATAAAGTAAGAGCTATCTTCTATAATAGTAAACTTCTAAAGGAGCTCTAGGGAGAGATCCTATAAGTAGTGGTATATACCTAGGAATAATCTCTATATAGCGCTCTTAATAGTATAACTCTATATAAAGTATAGTTAGGAATTAAACTATACATATTATACCTATAGTGCCTTAGCTATTATGCCTATAAGCTAGTGCCTAAGGTAAAGCACCTAAAGAAGCTTAATAATAGAATATATCTTTACTTCCTAGTAGGCTATAAAGCTAATAATATTTATTAACTCTAGAATCTAATTATAGGGCTAGTAAAAAGGGCAAAAGAGATTACCTTTAATAAGCAAATATAAATTAACCTAAGGGTAAAATTTAAGCTCCCTTAGCGTAGCGCTAATCTTCTAGCACTACTATGTGTAAAAGAGATTTTACTACTAGATTAGCTAGAGCGTTTTCTGTAACTTAATCTATAGGATTAATTAATAGTTAAAAGGCTTACTAATTAGGTCTAGGAGAGGAAATAAGAACGTAATAATTAACCTAATTAGTAAGCAAATAGAGTAATTAAATAGGTAAGGTTCTAGGAGGGGACTAAAGTAATTAACCCTAAAAACCTTAATTACCCACT